ATCACGAAATTAAATAATGCATATTTTATAAAAATATTTAAACTTCTTAGTAAGATCTTGTTAGATATTTTCTCAACAAATTTATTACTAATATCTTATTAATTATTAAAATATTCCTCCAATTATATATATTTGATTGATTAGTATAAATAATCAAATATATCATATTAATGAAATGGTCCAACATGACTTTTTTGTAGTAGATGTAAATGGTACTTCTCTTTTAATAGAGAAGATGTGGTAATTTTGTTTGTTAAAGAAAGTTTAGTTGGCATATTATTTTCAGAGTGGGCCTTAAAAGATTCCTGAAACAGAGTTTACGTGTAAAATTAAAAATGTATATTAGTAGAATATTATAGGATCCTTGACAAAAAAAAGAATACTATTGGATCCTGATATTGTTCATCAATAAAGTTTTTACCAGCCAGAGAATTTCGACATAGCAGTAAGTTCAATCAACTGGATTGCATGTAATGTTTTCATGCACTCGAGTAATGTAAGCACGATCAATTTCTCATCATGAAAGAAACAAATTATGGTCATGATTTAGGTTCGGTCCACCTTGTTATAGCAAGACGAGAATTCGGATTATGGTTTGCTCTTTTTTTTTACATGTGTCGTGCTTGTGTTTTATCCGAATCTGTGTGATATTTTCTTTATTGATAAGAAAGTAAAATATACAATAGTTTCGATGTAGTACCACAATGCTAATCAACGTACTAAGTCAAGAGAAGAAGATTTTGAGTGGATTTTACAGTCTTCTAACGATTTATAAGGGACCAACTCTTTCTTTTTTTGAATGAATGTAAAATTATATCTTTTTTTAAAAGAGTGTGTTACATGCCACACTAGTGCTTCTGTTTTTGGGAGGTATTTTTAACTTCTAAATAGAGAAAGAATAAAGAAGAACGAATTTAAAGAATGATCTAGGTGATTATTCTTGAGCCAAACAATGTTGCTAACCCATCTTCACACGCTCTGTTTCCTTAGAAGACAATTTGTGCAAAGTCTGTTTCTGGGACCAAACTCTTTCTAATTTTTCTATATGTTAAGATTATACTTTCTCAGTTTATCGTACTTTTAGGAGCACCATTTTGATACAAGAGATACCACTATAACATTTTCTATGCTACTGAGCTATCCAACTTTAGCTTTGAGTTGGTACGGGAGTATACATAGTTCAAACAGAATACTACAAGTCAGTATTTAGTTTTTGTATTATGCACACTGAAGTCCCTATTGAAATATTAAATATGTTTTCCTCTTTTTATAAATGGACTGACGTTAACTGGATATGAAAGCGATTAAGATACGGTTTTAGTGATAACAATTTGATTGGCAGTTGACGTAACCCCTAATCTGAATGTATCTTATTCAGTGATAGGTAATTAAAGAGGACAAACACCCCCCATGTTCTACATTTATATAACGTTACCGGGCTTAACACGAAATCTATCTTTAATTATATATTTAAAGAAATAGTATTAAATAACAGTGGTCAGAATACTAACATATAATCATTCAGAAAACAGAATCTGACGACGTTAAAAAAACTTACAAATAGCATATAGATCAGGGAAAGAATCAATTGTATCACAAGATTCACAACTGTTAAACTATAAATAGATCGGATAATGATGAAAAAAATCGAACCACGGATGTGGCAGTCCAGTTGATTTAAGTGCATGCGTTGGTATTGTTGTGTTCCTAGATTCGATCCACACACGGAAAGAGAAATGCTTTATGGCATTAATGGTATTAACAAAGACTGGTTCCAGGCTCAAGGGAGATTAAGGTCCAAGACCCAAACTTTCTTGAAAATTCAAAAAAAAAAGGATCGAACATGTTATTTTACATTTGAATGATTTTTGGGTAATGAACCCAAACATAACGACAATTAGTCTATTTTGTCGTAATATATACTATATGATTATTATCATAAATTTTTATATTATCACAAACAAACCCCAGACAAAAGAAAAATACTATTGGCAACTACTAATCCAACGACTGATTGGTCCTGCGTATACACGTTCTCCTAATCTAATTAGTTATATATATATACTGTTTGTTAATTTAAGTTTTGGTAACCCGAATCCGAATAGTGTGAATTATATAGATAAACATTAAATCTTCTTATATTTAAAAATATTTTGACCTTATTCTAAATATTTGGATAATTCAAATTAAAGTCACATTTTTATTCTATACTAAAATATAAAAATAAAAAATAGAGATTTAATTATATGTGTTATTTTAAAGATCCTTGATGATATTTGAATAGTAAATTTCTTTAGTATTAAATTTTCTTATGATTCAAATTATCAAATTATCACTTACCAATATCTATTACATCTTTATATAGTGTGTAAAATGTTGCAATAGTTAGCACAATATTTAACTACTAGTAACGATAATTACCACGGCTGACCAAAAATCACAATAATTCATTATTAAAAATTTAAATTGTTAAAAGTTACAATGATTTATCACTAAATATTACAATAGTTTATTATTAGTAGGTACAATCACAAATATTTATATTTGTTTATTTGAATAATTGTAATATTTTATTTTAATAGTTGTAAGGATTTATTTAAATATCCAATATATACAAAATAACAATATGCATAGACATCGAATTATTTTCTTCTTGAAAATTGAAATTATACAAATAAACAATTTTACTACTTGCTATAAAAAAATGTATCGGGCAGGACCAAAAAAAGGTTCGCACCATAAATGAGATAAGAAAAGCTGTAGGCTTTACAGCTGGGGTACTCCCTTTTATTAAATTCTCAGCATCTGTGAACTTTAGGTTTACATATTTATATAGGATATGGTGATATTTCTTCACTATGGTCCGACCTGTAATTTTAGGTGACACCAGCTACAGTTTATTTATTGTCTAGTTTTTGCTCAAATTTTTAAAACTGATTTAAATATAAGTTGAAAAATCATACTTCCTATGTTCCTAAAAGATCCATATTCTAGTTTTTGCACACTTTTTAATAAAACACAATAAATTTGCATAGTTTTTTGTATTTATCTTATTTCTATAATTTTAAACCAATCAAAAATCAATTAGTGCAATTAAGTTTTTTGAAATTTACAATTATTTAATAAAACATACATTGAAACTGTAAAAAATGGATTTTTTAGAAACAATTTTTTTTCTAGAATATGTATCTTTAAGGAACGGAGGGAGTATGTGATATACTGTCTATCCTTTTATACATATTTTCTACCGAAAACTGTGTTTTTTTAATATTTAAAATTTTAGGGAATTTATTTTTCTAAAATTTTTGACATTATTTTCAAATTTCTATATAAAATTTATTAATAATTATTGTTAAATATTTTAATTTTAATATTAGTGAAGTTATTGTTAGGTAAATAACTAATTATGTTTTTGTTTAAAAATGAAAAAAAAAATTAATCGACTTGTATAATTATAAAATGTCAAATAAAAAAAACAGAAGGTGTCACTAGTAAAAAGCGTCGTTATTCGTAGCAAGCTCTCCATATAGCTACGAAATTGCCACGAATGTACCGTAGCTATTTTGGTTTTTTTACTAGTGTGTAATATCTAAGATTGTTTTTTATTATCCTTGTTGTCTTACTATGAATGGTATTCATAAAAAGCAAGGCCACTAATTACCACCACTTATATAAAAGCAATTAATTGCAATTTGGTAATATATTAGTATTAAGTATATAAGGAATGCAGCTTGTGAGGACACTGTTTGTTCTGGGGTGCCCATGCCCCTATCTCTAGTAAGATTTAGTACTAACTCCATCCACTTGAAATATGTAAAAACAAACAAGAAACAAAGTCGTATTGTATTCGTTAAATCAGTTAGTTGTTCTGGTTAATTACTTGTCAATAAGCCAAAACTACGGCCCTTTTATCACCGGAGCATGAAGTAGACAAAAGATTTTGCTGAATGCGTGGACCGTGAAATGACACCGTATATGTAGGTTTTGTCTTTTAACTAGTTTTATTGTTATGACAAAACTGTGTATCGACCAGTAAATTAATATATTTCCCCAGACGTACCATGAGATGTCAATTTATGAACATACCGACGGGCTTTATTTATGTGTGTACTTATTTAAATATTTTTTTTTGAACATATACTTATTTAAATATTGCAAGCAACTATGTACATAATAATTGAAAACGTATGTAGTACGTAGTTCACTGCAAGTTTACGTATATATATACATTAACATTATGTTACGTTAAACGAAACCCAACGTAAACCACTAACACTAAAATGTGTCCCTTTAGCTACTATCTTTCTGTATTGATCTAAAACTCAAATCTGCTATAAATAGATTTCTAAAAGCAAACTGCATGGAACGTAGAAGAAAGGATTTCCCGCTCTATAATATGCTTACATAACGCAATTCGCGCCGTACTGATCCTTTTATTTATACAAAATAAAACAATACGATGGTTGTTCTTAAAACGTGTAAATGGATAAAATAAATGTACACATGCATACTTTATATAAAAATATATGGCCTATTCAAGAAATCATCTTTATCTTGAAATTATTTGGGAACCAGCTTTTGTTGACAACTATTAATAGTTACTGTGTGCATGTACTTGATCTGCAAACCTACTAAGTTTGTGATTGTTCTCTCATTACTTACGTTAGATAGTACTTAATCTCCTTCTGTACTTGTCTTAGTGTTATCTTTCAAAGAAAATCTAATTGGTGGCTATATAAATGTTCTAAGCATCCCTAGTATATAAATTAACACTAAGAGAGAACTCCAAATACATTTTTGAAATACAATTGGAAAGTGTAGAAAAAATTGGAAATGTAGTACTAGTACTCAATGTTTTACACAACACTAGTCTTTAGTGTATATAAACAGCCATCAATATTAAGTGTCAAAATATTTTTAACTAAAATTTCAGTCAAAAAAATATGTTTTTTTTAATAAAAAATAAATAAAATTTCAGTCAAAAAATATGTTTTTAACTATGAGTTTTAAATGACTCCAACACTTTCACTCATTCAAATTAAATGTACCTTATCCATCGTTCCTCAGGTTTTTTATTAAAAAAAAACTGATCAAATCATATCATCATGATGATAAACTTTATGCAAATATGATGAACAGCTTCGCAAGAGTGCTTCGATGTTGTAATAACACTTGGATCGACGGTTTTGTCAATTTATTTCTTAGCATGCATCCTTAATCTCCATCTTTCTTCCTTAAACTACCATGCCCATTAAATTCATTTTACATGTTATTTAACAAAATATTTGATTTATTGTGTTATTAAAAAAGGTTACAACGTTAATGTACTATTTAAAATGATACTAGTAATCAAAATTTCCTTAGTAATTAGCGAGAAAAACATTAGCCAAAAAAAATCATTTAGAAAATACTTTATTAACAAACAATACTTTAACGGAAGTTTGCCCAAAAAAAGCAACAATATAACGGAAAATTGTAATACAACAGCTTTTGGATACAGATTTAGAATTGACTCATATCCATAGATACAAAGTAGTCGTCTACTTTGGACTTATAGCAAAACTATAGATCGGTGGAAATTATCACCGCCTAGTTAACCTCTTTTAGGAATTATTATTAGCTAGACGCATTGTAGCCCAAACTATATAGACGGTCTAATGACTCTAATTTATTGGATAGTCCATCCATAAAACTTTGATAAACATATAGAAATCCTTTTTCGACGTTTAATTTTGATTCACATTTCGAATCATAACATCTTGAAGACTTAATGCTCAGAAGTATAGATCACTTGTGAGCTATCTGTCTTACCAAGAAAAACACAGAAGAAACGAAATTGGGTTTCTTTCAAGCTACCATCTCACGATGCCTTTATATTTTGTTTTCAAGTAAGTAGACATGTTGACATGACAGGAAAAAAAACAATTAGTGAAAAAGCTTGTCTGAAAGAGAGTATATTGACACCAACGTAGCAGCCAAATTGTCAATAAATTAGAGCGGCCAAAACCGAAGAACTAAGGTGGCTTTCGACACGTTGAGTGTAGGTGGTTTTATACTTTTATCATAACAATGTGATATAAAACAAAATTATACTTTCAATTTGAATAACGTGGACACTAAATTCAAAGTTTTAAGGTTAAGTTGTTTACTATTTCAAAATTATACCAAAATGCAAATATATAGATGTAAAGCCTGAAATTTTGTGATATAAATCCACATAAGACCAGTGAGTTTCGTATCACTTCACCTAGTTGACAGAAAAACCAAACCGGTATGCATGGGGTTTATATCAAAATTGTATCATGGTGAGAAGGCTCTTATCAACGAGTTCAGATGGACAGTGGCAAATTACAGCCAGATGTCAAGATTTTTTCCTATTCATCTATTGTTCCTCTGAGCATACAAATCTTCTAGAGACATAGGCCTTGGAGAACATGTTCAACTCTATAAATTTATGAAATGATCATCTTTCAAAATTTTACATGGTTGTATTGTGGCTTGCGAAATTGTAAATACATATTGTTTTTCAAGCGTGTGTTTTATGCTCAATTGAAATGAAACATGATAGTTGCTAATCCTTTTGATTGAGATAAATACTACATTTTTAGCTAAGTGACAATAGTAATCCAGAAGTTCTCACCTAAAAAAGAAGATACACTTGTCTTGAGAAATAGGCAAAATATTGTTAAAACAATCTGAGATAAAATAAATTAAAATCTTTGAAAAAAAATAAAAGACAAATTCAAAAAAAAATTACCGAGGAAATAAATTCACTGTGATGAGTTTCAGTATCCTAACGAATCTCCCATTTCACACTCCCTAACTTGGTTAATCAAAAAAATAAGATAACCCACAAATTTTACAAACCAACCCCCAAAGATTTCACCCACAATCACACATGTTACAAAATGAAAAAAAAAAAACTAGGTACATCACGCAAAGAAAAACCAAGTCCACCCTAAAACCCAATTAGCTTTCACACTGTTTCTTCAATGCTCTTGCTCAGCTCCTCCAACTTCTTCATCCTCAGCATCTCGCTTTCCCCTACCAACTGTTCCATCTCCCCAAAGATGAAAACCAAACACCATTTATGTACAACATGCCATGAAAGAAAAATTAGTAATATAAAAGATGAGAGAGCTCGTAACTAACCTCCATGAGTTTGGTGATCAGCTGCACTTTCTCCCTGTTCTTCTCGTTGAATGTATCAAGTGCTTCCTTGTATTCCCTTTCCTGTTTCCATCCACAATATATATAGTCAGTTGTTAAATAATTTAGCTTTAAAGATCAAATCTTTGGTGTGTGTTTGTGTTTGTGTACCTTCTTTTGAACAGTGGAACCTAAGGGTTTGAGTTCTTTGTTAACACTATCAATCTTCTTACGAATCACGGAAACTTCCTTCCTCATAGGATCTGCCATAGACTCAAGCTCCTGCATAAGACCCACAACATAAAGTAACCATCTTTACATAACCCTCATCAAGACCAAACATTTCATCTCACTTTTGTCCCAATCCTATAGATCTTGAAAACAGAGGAAAAACAGAGCAACAAAAACGTAAAGGAGACAACTTTCTCTATAGAGAGAGTAGAAACTAACCTCGCGAATGGTTGAGAGTCGTCGGGTTTCTTCCTCGACCCGACCCAATTGAGCCTGGATCCGTTCACGAACCTCCATCCTCCTCTTCTCAATCTCATCCTCTTTAGCCCTAAAAGCAGAGAGAGCAGAACGAGTCATCTCCTCGTCTTCTCTCGACATGTGGCTGCTGAAGCTTCCCGTGTGCAACACCATCTCGTTTCTCTGCGGCTGAGAAGGAGGAGGAAGCTCCGTCGTCGCGGCGGAGGCTCCGGCGTTGGTGTGAGTCATCTTTGGTTTCTCCTTGGTGCTTTTCTTCCTTAACCCAAAGCAGGAACTTGAATCCTCAGAGGAGTTAAGGTGGGTCTCTTCGAGTAACCCTATTGTCGCTGGTTTGAAGAAGAAGCTTTGTGTGTTGGTGTTTTTAATGGCGGAGGCGTTGTCTTTGTGTCTGGATGGGTTAGTGGGTTTTGGTGGTCTTTTTTTTGTGTAAAGGTGTTTTTGTGTTTGGTTTTAAATGATTAAGCACAGCGTTTAATTGTATCATTAACCTAATCTTCTTTTTAATCAATGTTATTAGTCGTCTACTCGTCTTACGACCGTTTTTTAAGGAATCGATTATTCTTTGTTATACTATTTTATTAACGAGCTGTATTTTTTTTGATTAAAATGGAATTGAAATACTATCTGCCTGTAAAGCAAAGCAGGAATGTGTCAATGCATAAAAACTAATAATTATACTAATATGGAGTAGTGAACTGTTGATGGTATGGGAATACGATTTGTAATTAGAAGTATTGCAGATTTTTTTTTAAAAAATTATTAAAATAAGCAAAGCCAGGAAATTGACCTAATCATATGTTAAGTGACAACCATGTCCGACCAATCATATGTGGAACTTTTAGTGTATTTTTTTAGCATACCTGTAGTTTATAGTATAATCAAAACTCTCTTGGTACCAACAGAAACCAAAATATCTTAAAAATTCGAATTCTAGTCGAATCACTTTTGTTTGAATTGATTAATAAACGTCATAGCTGTACATACGAAGCAAGCACGATTCATCGGATCATCTTAAGCTTTTCTAGTATAAAATTATAACTTCAACTACTTTACATCTCATCAAAACAAAAACTACATGTTATTAATCTAAGGCTGAAGAAAACCCAAGACATTGTTTTAACTATTAATTAAAACCAAAAAAATATATAGTAAAAATATATAACATACAGTTAATGCTTGTCTATTCTAAATACATACCATATGTTTGGCTGCTTCTGAGCTTGCAATATTCACACACACACACACAAAAATTCCACCCTTTGGTCCATTTTTGTCCTACAAGTCATTGATATTTGTTTCTAGAGTTAATAATTTGTCTACAAATCATTGAGAATTTAATCTCAAGTCCTGCCATTGACTTGACCATAGCAAAGACTTCCCGTACAAATTTATTGCCTGTCAAATATAATTACATTTCTACTCTACACGTAAATTTATTTGAAATAATACATTCACAAGTGTTGCCCAAAAATAAAAATAAAACCCATTCACAAGTAAATACTCGTATTGATGGACTATGCTATATTCAAAATGAGAAAAAACGTAAACAAATAAAGCTTAACTAAACAAACAATTTAAAAATATGTAGTTACCAAAAAAAATGTAAATTTTACGAAAGATGATAAGTAGGCGACCAAAAAGATGTGGAAGTGATAGGCTTAATCACATGTCCACTAATTGAATGTTAATGGATGTTACATTGATAGCTAAAATACATTTGTTGGGTTTACGATTTGAACGTCAAGGACAAGAAACTTTTGTTGGTGTCGTATACAAAACTCTTACAAGGGATAAACAGAAGCCCATAAAATGGATGACACATTTTGTATTTAATACCTGATAAGTGAGAACATTCTGATGGCAGTCTCTCGAAATCATATGTACTATGCTACTTTAGATTGCTATATGCCATATTAGTTAAATAATTATCACGTCACTTGTGCGAAAATAGACCTAAGTTTGAGGACATAAAAACTTTCTTGCTTGGTTTGGTTCCGTTTGATTTTGAGATGAACAAATCATTTGTACATATGTGGTCATGTGTGTGTATTTATCAATAAGTTTTGCATAATAGAATATAATTTATATTGTTAAATTCGTTCAAGCAACAGTGAAACTTAAACAAGATAATTTTGTTTGTTTGCATGGGGAAGACGACGTTATATAAAAAAAAGATTTGTGTAAGAATGGCAACTTTTTTACATGCAAGTATGCTGTGTTTAAAAATGAAAAACCCCATCCATAAATTTCACATTTTTACAAAAGAAGAAAGATGATAAATTACAATTCACACAATGAACCAAGACCCAAACTCAATAAGTTCTTGATTGATGATCTTTGTCATGCATGTGTGTTGTGACATTCTAGATGCTCTTGCTTAGGTCTTCAAGCTTCTTCAACCTCAGATTCTCACTTTCTCCAGCCAACTATTCATGGAAAATGGACACCATTTATGCCAAAAACATATACAAATTGACAAATCGGCATTTTAGATAAGAGCAAGAAACGTACATCCATGAGTTTGGTGATAAGCTGAATTTTCTCCAAATTCTTCTCGTTGAATGCATCAACTGCTTCTTTGTATTCCCTTTGCTTTTTCATTCCAATTAAAAAAAAACCAAAAAAAAAAATCCTGGGGTTTAGGGTTTGGTGATTGCTAGCTAAAAATAAAAAATGAACTAATGTCAAACGAATAGTGCTTATTCACCTTCTTTTGAACAGAGTAACTCAATGGTTTTAGCTCTTTGTAAACGCTATCAATCTTCTTACGGACCACCAAAACCTCCTTCCTCATGGGATCTGCAAGAGACTCAAGCTCCTGTACAAACACACCATCATCATTCAATACATAACCAAACATAAACATAACGTCTATTTTTTAAATAGCAGACTAATCTTTTGAGTATGTGGAGTTATGTGTAGTTCTGTCATTTAAGGCATCTAAACTGCTAATTAACCCCAACTAAAATCGCAGTGGAAAAGCCACAAATCATCGTCTTTCAACTACTGGACCAAAATGGTTTATAGCGTCAAACTTTATATTTACGCAAAAAATAAAGAAACCTCGCGAATTGTGGCGAGACGGCGGGTTTCTTCTTCGACACGACTAAGTTGAGCCTGTACACGTTCACGAACCTCCAGCTTCCTCTTCTCAATCTCACTCTCCTTAGCTCTAAACGAAGAAAGCGCTGTACGAGTCTCCTCATCTTCCTTTGATAAACAGCTGCCGGTGCTGAAGCTCCTATTAAACATCATTTCATTGTTCAAAGGAGGCTCTGCCATTTTGGTGGCTTCTGCTCTGTCTCCGCCGTTGGTCTGGGACTGAGTCATCTTCAACTTCTCTTTGTGACTGATACTATTTGTGTTGATGATTTTGCTTTAGAACTTCTAAGCCTTCGATGAGGTATTATAATGGCCAGGGGTGATTGCTTGTTACTCTTGTTAGGTGTTAGAGTCAATCATTAGAAAAGGTGGTTAATTATTTAATGAGATTATATGCCTCCTTCTAACAGTATTTAGTTTATAGAATAAGACAAAACTATATTATTGATATGGATAGATGGTTGGACCGCCCAAGATTATTTTGTAAAAAAATTCTCACTCAGCTAGAACGAAAGATTTATGAAAGATCCACAGCAAGGGGAACAAAAATAATGGTGTAGAACTTGATTAAGTAAGATTTGTAACATGTTCTATCATGGCATGGAATTGTATATCTCTTGGTATATAAGAAGATGTATAATTTAGCTTTTTTTTACTTAAACTTTTTTAGCGATTTAGCTTTCTTCTAAAGAACGTTTAAGAAGCAGCTGATTAATTGATATTCATAGTTTGGACAGAAGAAGGCTAGAAAACAAAAGTAGATATTAGGGACTAAAGTCCAACATCGGTTGTTGTAAGGGTTCTCTAGCAATATATAAGATAGATGTGTCACTCCATTTATCACCAATTAGTTTTAAGTTGGAAGCCTATCTAGCTTAACATGGTATCAGAGCCCACGATCCATGCAATCCAACCCGATCCTTATCGATCCAGTCCAAAATCGGCTCATCGATCCTTGCCCGAACATTCCGAGATGACACCAAAGAGCCATCATCTCGAGGGGACGTATTAGGGACTAAAGTCCCACATCGGTTATTAGAAAGATTCTCTAGCAATATATAAGATAGATGGGTTACTCCACTTATCACCAATTAGTTTTAAGTTGGAAGCTTATTTAGCTTAACAGTACAAACGTGTAAAATGTATAAAATAAGAACACTATACTGATTAAAGCAGATATAGTCTAAGTTTTGCTGTTTTGCTACGGCATGTACGTAGGTATGTGTATGCAAATACAGATCACCGTTTGATTTATAAATTTAAAGAGAGCCAAATTGACCGAGCTACGTACCAAATTAAATGCCACCGAATAATCCTAACTAACTGATGAGCACACTTTATTGGTTTTGGTTGTCTTTTCTCCATTTAATATAAATACGATACAAACAGCTTCAAATATTTTGTGCACAAAAAATAAAACAGCTTCAAATATTTAAAACATATGACATCGAAAATCAAGACAATTTAACAATACATACACATCGACTCTGTGAACGTTGACCAAAACATACAATATGAACCAGCTGTATATATAACATATATATGACTATATATTACACTTCTTATAACGAATTTTACCACAAAAGTATGCTCCCTCAACCACAGTGACATCATTCATATATTCACTGATTGCATCACCACGTATATAAATCCTAATTGAACAATGGAACAATAAATTATATAGTATTCCGTGAATATGTGGACAAAATATTCTTAAAAATAAAAGACTAGATTACTAAGACAATGTAGAAGAATTCGGCTGTGAAAGGAACCAAACAGAAGCTTCCAAACATTTGAAAACAATTAATTTTAAATGAAAATGAAGGCATTAAAATTTACGAATATAATGATCTTGATATTTTAAAACTGTTTGTTTAAAGTATGGTTAGTGAATGACAGTGGAACAAGTTAAATCATACTATGAAACACAAAAAAGAAATGACTAAAACAAATGCAATAAATGCCTTCATTGTAGAACTCATTGTGCAAAACAGAATACTCAAAGTTTTTACCAGAAAATTAGAAAAATTATACTAAATGTGGAATCGCATTGGGCCTTAACAAAAAAACAATTAATCTTAATTGGACGTTTATACTGATAGCTTAAAAGTATAAACTAAGCCTTAAACAAAGGTCTTATTGCGGACTAAGCCTTAAACAAAGGTCTCATTGCGGATTACGACTAAGCTTCAATAGAAAAATTATTTGTGGTCTGGGGTATGTGTTGCAGGTTCACTTACAAACCATATGCTGCTTTGTACATGGGCCTATACCCTTAAAACCCAAAGCTTTTATCATCAAAAGGATGAATTCGGTCTAGGCGTCTAAGCCGGTCCAGCTATATGGTTTATCCTATATCACATGTTTGAGGCTAATATTGGCTGCTACACCTTCTCGAGTCAAGTGTTCTGTAGCTTATCCGAGACATAAATTGCATTCGACCAATGACATGCATCAGTTTGGTAAAACTCTCGGATGCAAAGTAATTTTAACACTGGAATATTCGTAAAACTTACAACACGAATAAATGTACTTCTATTAGTGTATCTTCAAAATATAGTGTGTTTCAAATCTTAAGTTCGAAGTTTGTTGTCATAAAGTGAGCTAATTAACCTGTTTTTGATCCTTGATCTGGAGTAATTAAGGGTCTATAATACGTTAAAACTTTTTTTGTAAAACAAAACAAAACTAATGTTCCTTTTGGAATAATTTCACATGATAATTTTGATTTATATAACCCTCAAGTAGACCTATACTAGATGGTTTATCTCATTGGGAAGCAACTTGTTTAGTAAACTAATTTACAAAACATGAAGGCAAAGTAGTCTTTGCATTGGATTCTTTTCAGCTTTTAAAACATATAATAAATATCAAACTATTAAAAGATCACATGTTAGAACATTGCATGTTGACACGTGCGGTCATGCCCTTAGATACCTTGTGTCATATGTGTGTATGCTTTCACCAGAAAGATCTATTCTTTACTTTTTGTTTCTTTTTCTCTTTTAAATTATTATGAAAAAACGGTTCTGGTCCAAGTTTGGTAATAGTCTTTTTTTTTTTTGTGTGTGTGTGATTAATTTATATTAATCAGTAGTTGATATTAGGATGTACATTTACAATCTAGGTAATGTTAGTAAACATACGCTTAAGAAATATATTCAATCACGTGATTCTATATAATAAATATGGCATCAAAAGTGTAAGTGGACTGCTAAAACTGCTTCGCAGACGCCTAGATTCGTCTTTCAATTTTAAAACATGTGAGAAAGAAAGAAAATACAAAAATGTTGTAACGTTACTTAAATGATTCGGTAAAAAAGATGATTCGGTAATTTTGAAAAAATTAAAATTCTTACCAAAAGAAAAGAAATAGAGAAAGGGAATAATAAAGCACGTGGGATCACGTGAGGCCTCGCGTGCCGGCGTGACTTGCCTTTTACTACAAAAATAATTAAAATAAAGTTAGTATGTCCGAAGAAAAAATAGGACCCACATGACTGACTCTGACCATTTGTTTGTAATATTGACATATTTAAAAATGATAATATTCGTGTTGAACATAATCAAATAAAATAAAATTTACGTTTCTTTCTCATACAACTAAACCAACAAATACTATATATTTAAAAAATAAATTAAAAATAACTGGTATCTGACAGATCGTGTCAGGAAAACGTATTTGTCTTCTCTTGGACATGTGAACTCTCGCCCTCGTTTGCCTCTTCCTTCTTATTCTGTGTCCTTCCTCAAAATTTTATATATTACGATTTCATTTCAGATTTATTGTGCTATATATAAGAATTTTATACACAAAATAGATGATTAGACAAAAACGAAAGCATTGACATAAACAAATGTCTCTTGCTGACAAAAAAAATGTCTCTTCTATTGCCGACGTAAAAAGAAAAAGCTTCTCATTGATCTTTTTGACCTATATTTTCACCTGTTAAAGATTTTTGAGGTTAAATAGGTAAAATAATAGAAACAAAGGGGTAAAAACGAAAAGAGTACTATGAGTAGTCAAATCGAAGATGAGTCACAGCAATAGAGAGAAACCCTCACCATCCACTTGTTTACTACTCACTTTTTATGCTTTTTTCTCACTTCTGAGTTTCTGACACAGCCAACCAGTTTCTTCTTCTTCTCTTTCCTCATTATTGCTTTTCTCTCACCCCATCTGAGTGGTGAATTTTTATTGAATCGAACCTAAAGTAAAAACTAAACCAACCTCAAATCGAATTGTATATAGAAAACAAAATCAAACCGTTGACAAAACCCACCAAATGCCAAACTTTTAACCGACTAATTTAGGCCGCAATGAGCGTAACTAACATATTCACATAGCGTAATGTGGAGGATTCTTATTGAATGGTGAGTTTGACAACATGTCGTGAATGGATATTAAGACAAATATCCATTTTAAGATTTGTATATTATTGTATGAATGAATAATTTTACAATTTCTTAGATTCATATTTATTATAGCTTCAAAATCTGATTCTTTTTTTTAACATTGAATGATAGATTTTTATTGATGTACAAAGATTTAAGACACATCTAAATGTAACACAATAAAATAGATAACCTTTTAAAAGTAATTTGATTGATTAATGTATAAAATGTTATTTTATGGAGTTTTCAAATGTTACAGTTGGCTCTATAGACAATAAGCTTACCCAGTACTAAATTGAAAGCACTAACTTTACCAAATTTTCAACAGTTATTTCAAAACAAAGTTTAAACAAAAAAATACAATTATTTCAAAACTGTGGAGTTCGAGATTAGCTAAAGATATCTATATCAGTTTAAAAAATCAAACGATTTCCTTTCGGGTTTTTTTTTTTATGGATGTGACTAATGTGTAACTATCGCAAAACAAGAGAGTTAAAGTAATAGTTATAAAATATGTAGCATGATACCATCTCGCGTAACATGAAGAGATTGTCTAAGAAGCGAGTTTTTTGATGTATAATCGTTCACCAAGTATTTGCATGATCTTTCACATTCTTACTTTTGATGCCATTTAATAGTACCAATAATTTTTTTCAGTCGGTGTGTTTTTCAAAATAGAAAAAAAAAGAGGGTTGTGACAAAAAAAAAAAAAGAAAAAAAAAGAGGGTGGAAAATACATTCAACGCCGTATGATTAAAGAGACTCATGATTAAATACAAATTTACTGAATTTTACTAACTCAAATTAAAAGTAGTTCGGTTTGTCGTCAGCAATGCAATTGCAAATTATTTGAGTAGTTCGGTTTGTCGTCGCCAATGCAATTGCAAGTTATATCTGACGTAACGCTCACTAATTTAATAATGTCTGAACAAAATCAACTTAAATATCAGATATCTCATTAATGACACTATTATTTTGTTCAATAAACTAATTAAAAGGAAGAGGAATACTAATTATTAAAAGGAGATAATTATGCAAGTGGTATTTCCAAGGCAGCAAGACATAAAAACTGCAGGTTATTAGCTCTCCATCTTCACCTTGCAGTGTGGTTCTTTCTGGGTTTCCTGACTTCTTTTAATATTATATTAATGTAGAAACTATATAATAATATGAGATTAATGAAGATTTGTGAACCCAATTAATAAAGTTATATTCTTGTTTACTGTATAGTTTTTCTCCCCCCATATGTCTTGTCTCACTGTCTTTTTTTCTCTAATAAAAACCTCTTTCCCCTTCTCTCTCTCTCTCTCTATCTGCAGAAGAAGCTCAGATACAGAAACTGACTACAAAGAACAAAGCTGAGGGGGAAAAAAGTTGTTCTTTTCTTCCTTTGCTAGTCACAACCCCAACAAGACTTTGTTGTGTGTTGCCATAGGCTATTAAAACACACCCTGTAACACAATACAGAAAGGTTGAAACACCAATAATCTCAAAAAGCAGCCAACACTCTCTCCCATGGATTTGCAACTGAAACAATGGAGAAGCCAGCAGGTGCAGGAGACAGAGCCAGAAGAACAACCTTCTGCAGCAAAAATACCAAAGCATGTCTTTGATCAGTTTCAATCTCAAACTGCAACTTCTACTGCTCTTCCACTCTTCACCCCTGATCCTACACCTTCCAAACTCTCCTCTTTGTCTCATGATTCTTCTGCCAGGTTCCCCAGTGAGTCTTGCTGAAACTTAGAGATGCATAATGATAAGAGTGTTGTTGATTTTGATGTGGGTTTTATCTTTTTTTTTTTCTTGTAGAGATGGGGAGCTTCTTTAGCTGGGCACAGTGGCAAGAGCTTGAACTACAAGCACTGATCTACAGGTACATGTTGGCTGGAGCTGCAGTTCCACAAGAGCTTCTTTTACCAATCAAGAAAAGTCTTCTCCATCTTTCTCCTTCCTACTTCCTTCACCAACACCTCCCTCATTACCAGCCTGCTTGTGAGTCCACATATCTCTCTTCTTGGTTTCATTTCATATATTTTTTATTCACTTCTCCTTGTTGTTAAACATATTTTATAAATGTGGGATGCATGTGTTTTGTGCTGTTGGAGTTGTGTACCCAAGATCCAGACTAGTATTATCTTGTTCTTGCAAATCTTGAGCAAGCATGTGATGGGTTCTTGCTCTTGTGTTCTTGATCTGATCTGTGATATGGAAAAAAACAGGGTATTTAGGGAGGGGGGCGATGGATCCTGAGCCGGGGAGATGCAGGAGAACGGATGGTAAGAAGTGGAGATGCTCAAGAGACGTCTTCGCTGGCCACAAGTATTGCGAGCGCCACATGCACCGTGGCCGCAACCGTTCAAGAAAGCCTGTGGAAAATCCAACCGTCAACGCCACCACCACCACTACCATGGCTGCTGCTGCTGCAGCCACACCTGCTGCTGCAACAACAACTACTTCGTTTGCTTTTGGCGGTGGTGAAGAAGTGGGTCAAGGAGGATCTCCTTGTTTCTTCTTCTCTGGCTCTTCCAACTCTTCATCTGAACTTCTCAACCTTAGTCAAAGGTAATAAATAATAAGACACTGTTTTTTTTTTTGCTTTGTCTGTTTGAGTTGTTGTTCTTGTTGGTCAAAACATTAAACACATAATAAAAGACTTGAGACAGTTTGTTTTTGAATGATATAATTGGTTTCACTTTTAAAGATTTAGAGTTGATTCTTGATATTTAGTTAATAACTATGAAACTAATGGTACTACTTGGGGTTTGTATGTTGTTGTAGAGAGAGGGGTAATGTTGGAAATTGAGAGACATCCTTATCAATTTTAGGGTTTTGTTTGTTTGTTTGTTTGAGAGATAATAATGATGATGACATTGGATTTGATAGAATCTACTATTATGAAGCTAGCTGTAAACTTTTCAAACAGAAGAAATTTAGAGATACTTTAGGTAGAGAACAAAGGAGAATGGTAGGACCTTAGTGAAAGCTGACCCATATATGTCTCATATCTTGCAGAAAAAAGTTAAAGCTTTTAGATTCTTCTGCACCCACCTTCCCCTATCCACACACCACAATCACATGATACACATAACTCATTAAATAATTCACATCTATAAACTAAACCTGCATTAGAAAAGCTACCTTTTAAGTCAATTATCTTTAAAAGAGTTCCAACTATGTTGTTGAGTTTGTGGTAATCTTGCTTTGTTGAGATACAATTCATGAGATGTGGATTCTCTTAACAGTTGTACAGAGATGAAGCAAGACACCAACAACAACAACAACAAGAGGCCGTACGAGTCACATAATGGATTTGGCAACAACACATCAGACGGAGGCCACACTTTAAGACACTTCTTTGACGACTGGCCTCGTTCTGAAGCCGACAATAGTTCAAGCCCTATGACCTCAGCTACTTGCCTCTCTATCTCCATGCCAGGAAACTCTTCCTCAGACGTCTCTCTGAAGCTGTCCACTGGCAACGAAGAGGAGGAAGCTAGGAGCAATAACAATGGGAGGGACCAACAAAACATGAGCAGCTGGTGGAGCGGTGGAGTGTCCCATCACAACAACAACCACATGGGCGGACCGTTGGCTGAAGCCTTGAGATCTTCCTCCTCGACTTCCCCAACCAGTGTTCTCCAACAGCTCGGTGTTACAACACAAGCCTTTCATTGAACATTGTAGAACCAACACAACATTGTTTGTTTTTTACTGTTTTTTTTTTGTTTTTTTTCATTGAACAATGTATCTGTAACAGTTCTTTGCAGATTTGCCTCTCAACAGATTTTATGCATACACAAATATCTCTAAAGTTTGCACATTAATTTGCTTCATATGCATACACAAAGTAGATATCAAGAACGTATACATATATCATGAGAATCATTACATAAATATCAAGAATACCAATGGTAGTACATATTTTTCAAAGAAACAAATAATATTTTATATCAAAACCATAATTTTGGATACGTAAGCTGTTATTAAAAACCAATATAATAAAAGAAGAAAATTTACATGAAATTCAACAACATCCAAAAACACTATTTTCTACATACAAACAGGTTCTTCTTCTCTCCTTCATCACCTTCTTTGAAAGTTGAGGAACTTGATACCATAAGCGAACACAAAGACAAAGAGCAGTATCCACCCGATGTGGGCAGCAGCTACAACTGGTAAGAAGTCATGTTCGAACCCGAACCCATCTTTCATCAACGTCTTGAGGCTCATGTCTCCCACGCCAGCGATCTGCACTATTGAATCTTTGTCTCCTACTTGAGATGTTATAATTCCGTACAACGTCCAAGCCACTGGTGTTGCCCAATAGTACCATCTCCACCATATCGGTATTTGCTGCGTTTTGTCACCAAAACTTTTACGTTAGTTACAGCCAAGTCTCAAACTATAAAAAAAATCATCTCCAAACAAATATTAATGGTATATTTTTAAAAATAATGATAAAATTTTTAAAGTTCATAGTTTATTTTTATACGTTTAACTTTTCTTTTGAGATTATAGACCAAATTTAAAAACATAACTAAAAATTTTAAGTTTGTTACTAATTCATATAAAGTATTATAATTTGATTATTGGTTATGTAAGTTGGTAAGAATGTTACCGGTCTTGGTATGAGGAAACCGGAGAAGAGATTCCAGAGACTAAGGAAGAAAGACATGCAGATGCCAGCGATTTGGTAGTTTGGTGTCAAGGCGACAAGCATCATACCGTATAGTGTGAAGTAGATGAAGCTTGTTAACATGTAATAGTAAAACCATAAGAACTTGGCCACAGTCCAATCATATCCAATCATGGAGTAAAGTATTAGCGTGTAGACTGCTGTTTGTATCGTGTTGTACATGATTTCCACCGCCACCTACAACCATTTTTATTCCTTCTGAGTTCTCATTGTAGTCTATACCATAGTTTAAGATTATAACATAAAGACAAGAGTGTTAGATGAATGGTTAACCTGAGAGATTGCATAGGGGATAGCTGAGTACATTCCAGCTGCCTTCTCACGGTAGAACACAGTTCTCTCAATGGCTATTGCTGGTTGAACTGTTGCAGCATTGGTGGCACCAAGGAAAAGTATTGCAGCGTACATGGCTCCAAAGAAGTTATTAAGATCTTGCTCTTTCTCACTGTTTTTTGGTTTTGAGATGAGTTAGTCATGTTTTGATAAGATGATATAGTTTAATAAAAAGGGAACTTACATTTTCGTTCCTGTTTGCCAGAAAATCAAACCAAACATAACACCAATGACTACTGTCATGAGAAACCGGATGGCATTGTACTGAGGATATCTCCAGTTAGACCAGTACTGTTTCCAGAAGCAAGCTTTGATTTGAGTCAAAAACGGTTGCGAATACTTAGTTGGGAAGTAGAGATCATTGGATCCTGGTGGTGGAGTACTAAGCTCTTTGATGAGTTCTTGGTTTCTCCTGAAGTAGACATTCAAGTTCAGGTTAGGACAGTGTCAAGTAACACTCTGGTCTAAAACTATATAGTAACATTTTTTTCTTTAACATACCGATAAAGAGAGGAGTTGGTGAATAGTTGAGCAAAATCCAAACTCAATTGTGACTCCATTGAAGGAGTAGTGACATCAAGCATCCATGTTGCAGGATTGTATCCGTCCTTGATCTTTGGAACCCCTTCAACAGCCTGCAAAACAAAGTTTTTAAAATGTTAGACCGCCTAACGATTTTTTCTAAACATTGGTTTGGTTACTTCAATAGATATCCAAACTCATATAAATAAGGAAAGGAAAAAGAAAAATGATTCACCTCAAAGTATTCAACAAGTTTTTGTGAGTGATGTCCAAGACTTCCAGCATATATAACTTGACCTCCACGTTTCATCAACAGAAGCTGCATTAAACCAAAGATGATACATTAGTTTCATTCTGCAACAGTTTCCATGTGACTAACAGTAATAGTCCAAACAAACCTCATCAAAAGATTCAAAAATGTCGATGCTAGGCTGGTGAATGGTACAAACAACAGTTCTTCCTGTATCAACAGTGTTTCTAACAGTACGCATAACAATAGCAGCAGCTCTTGCATCAAGACCAGATGTAGGCTCGTCCATGAAGATTATAGAAGGGTTAGCAACCAATTCAACTGCAATAGTAAGCCTCTTCCTCTGTTCTGTTGAAAGACCATCAACTCCAGGGAGTCCAACTATAGAGTTTCTAAGTGGTTTTAGCTCCACCAACTCCATCACTTCTTCAACAAACATCTATCAATAGACAAAAACAGGTTACCAATTTTATAATGAGACAACAATGAAACTTTGTGATTAGTAATTACTTACCTCTCTTGTTTTGGCATCTATATCTGCGGAAAGGCGAAGCCAGGCTGAGTAGATGAGGGATTCATAAACTGTAACATGTGGTGAATGGATATCATTCTGTTCACAGTAACCAGAGACTCTAGCAAATGTTGATTGGTTCTTTGTGTAGCCAGATATGCTAATACTCCCTTCCACGTATCCTCCTGTTTTCCTTCCTGCCAAGACATCCATTAAGGTTGTCTTACCTGCACCACTAACACCAACCAATGCAGTCAATATGCCTGGTCTGAAAGCTCCACCAACGTCTCTTAGTAACTGGAGACGATCTCCTTCAATCCCTTGAGCCTTCATTTCCTGCAATGTTTTGAAAAAAAAAATGAATGAAACTCATTTGGTGAAGTCTAACACATAGAAAGTTGTCTGAGAACTTACTGCAGGCATGTCTACGTAGTAGTTCACATTTTGAAATGCAAGAGAAAGTGGTTGAAAAGGTAAAACCATTCCTCTCTTTGGTCCATTACTTGAACGGTTACTGAGTTCCACAAGAGAATCTGCAGATACACACAAGAGTCAGAAACATAGACGTAGAGACCTTGGCACATAGTCTAGTGTGAAGTAAAAGAGTTCACCTTCTGTTCCACGGCTGTTCCTTTTCTGTTTTTCTTTCCCTTCTTCCACAACTGTAGCTTTAGAGTCACCAAGAGCTGGAAAGAAACATTATTCAAGATCTTGTCAATTACAAAAATGATTGGAATATCCAATATTTTTTGAATACAAGAGCACTTACGGTTCAAATACATCAATGCTATGATGTAAAAGAGATTGAACAACAAAGAGAAACCAAGAAGCGCCACAATACAGATCCAAAACCAGTATGGCTCTGTAAAGAAGCCTCGGCTCTTCAGAAGGACTTCTCCAACAGTTTTCGCGTCAATTCGGGTATCAGTGTTGGGCTGTAACATGTAAAACAACAAGTTTTTTCATCAGAATATGCAAAAGAGAAGCCAAGAAAATGAGGACTTGGTGAAAACTTACAGCTCCCCATCTCTCATCGAGAAACTCATTCATAACAATAGCAGTTTGTCCATACATCATAGGGGATATGTAATAAGCCCAAGTCATCCATGGTGGGATATCATCTGTAAATAAGAATATAATATATGGTTTTCACTTAACAATCTCATAGAAAGAAACCAAAAATGATCTTTTACTTAGTTCATCAGCTTACCTTTAGCAATAATGAAGCCTCCAAGAGTAAAAACAATGAGCAATGTGAAGGTTCCAACAGAGTTGGAGACAACTTCTGTTCTTCCAACAGCTCCAAGGAATCTAAACAAGGAAAGTGCCATCTGGTTCACACAGAAGTATGCCAACAACTGTCGGAAAAACCTAAATGGACACAAGTTTGGTTTAGTTCAAGAGACTATTAAAATGTGATATTCATTAGCAATTGAGTCAAGCAAATGTACCTGGAAGCAGCAGGAGCAAAACCTACAGTGTAGTATGTAAGAACAATCCATATTCCTGACTCAATAAGAGACAATGGAATCTTTAGAAGCCAAGCTGGTAAGGCAAAAGCCCATGGAGGATAGAACAAGAAGTCCCTCTGCTTGTAGAAAACAGGGAGCCTCATCACTGTGAATGCTAGTTCAGCCATACCATTAAACATTACATTGATCAAGCTGAAAAAGAGAGCACCATAAAACTTTTGACCATCTTGGACTGTGCCTACATGCATCTCTGTCCTGAGATATACCGTCATGGTGATCAAGGACATGATTGTAATCTGGACGGTCTTGAACACATACACAAAGGAGTTTCGTTTCATAAGAAGCCATTCTCTATCCAAGCATGCTTTGAAGAGCTCCCAGTTTGATATACCATACTTTTGTGTCACTAAAGCAGCAGGATGGGTTTTAGATTTGTCATAAGGAGTTCTGATCTCTGAAGCGAGTTCTTGTCCTGTGTGAAAAGACTTAAAGCCGTTTGAGAAGTTATCCACTGAGACATAGCTGTAAGGTTGATCTCTCCTGTTCCAATACTGTTCTTGGTCCTTCTTAGAGGTGACTTCTTGTAGAAAGTCTGCAACACCTTTCCTTTCGGGACACTGGAACCCCATGTACTCAAAGAACTCAAGAACATTCTCCCTTGGGCCCTGGTAGACAATGTGGCCCTCTGAGAGCAGGATGATGTCGTCGAAAAGCTCGAATGTCTCCGGTGCAGGTTGCAAAAGAGAAATGATCATTGTAACATCTGAGATATGAACTAGTTGCCTCATGAACTTGCAGATTTGGAAGGTTGTGGAACTATCCAACCCTGTTGAGATTTCATCCATGAAAAGAGCTGTTGCTGGTCCTACCAACATTTCTCCTGCTCAGTTTAGACATAGAGTCATCAGAGTTATGGACATTGTAATGAATCATGGAGATACTTTCAAAGATTTTTTTACCTGTTGTTAGACGCTTCTTTTGTCCACCAGAAACACCTCGTCTCATCACATCACCAACAAGTATGTCAGCACAAATGTCAAGACCAAGTATCTGTCAAGTTAGCATTTACCAAATATGAGCCCAAAAATACATTAATACTTTGTTAGTACTAAGAATATGCAAGAAAGGTTGTACCTTAAGTACATAATCAGTAACCAAACTAGTTTCTTGCCCTGATATAGCAATAGATTTCATGAATGCATCAATTTCAGGGTCTGGCTTTATACCAGCTTCTCTCTCCCTCCTTGAGAGCTCAGTGAGCAGCTGGTACCGTGTCCCAACACCTAGACAGCGTCCAGAAAAATCCAGTGTCTCTCTTACAGTCATTTCTCCAAAGTGAAGGTCATGTTGACTAATGTATGCACATGTCTTTTGAGGAACAAACTCTCGGAACTCATGACCACAGTAAGTTATCTTCCCTGACATCTGTTTTACCACTTCCAATGTCAACTCAAACCACAAGAAGCACACTCATATATATATATGAGAGTAGAGAGAACAAACTTGGAGGGTGTCATCTAGCTTTCCAGCCAAGGCTTGTAACAAAGTTGTTTTCCCTGAACTTGGTGGACCAAGTAGTAAGGTCATCCTGGAAAATGTTCAACAAGAATATAACTCATTTAATCTATTTCCTCTAAAATTTCATTAATTAATTATAATATAGCAAAGAACATTGTTGCATTATAGTACCTTGATGGTTTGACAATGCCACTGATGTTTTTTAGTATCTGAATCTTCCTCTTTTTAGATGGAAGAAGGTGGAACATTCCAAGAATACTCTATTAACAAAATAAAAACTTCAAAATCAACCAACACAAAAATAAAAAAGAAAGAAAAGAAGCAAGTAGGCAATCAAATGAATATATTATTTCCCAAGTCCTTTTTAGTTTCATAAAGTTAAATTTTGCTATTTTTAAAAGAAATATTCTAATATTGGACCCGCAAGGTTTCATCCCATAAAAGGAAACATTGATGTCCAAGAAGCAAGCCGCAAAGTTAGGTTTTGACTTTTTACTTGAAACTCTAAGATCTTTTTTTCCTCAAAAACATCGAACAAGATAAAAGTAAGAAACCTCAAGTGTATTCAGTGTGACGTTGAAGAGAGTAGGAAGAGCTCTGCTTGCACTACGTACATCTCCTTCCACTGATATGTTCTCATATCTTACTTCAATCTTTGGAACTTCAATCCCCACTCTGTTTTTTCAATTAAAAAATAAAAAATAAAAGATCCCAAAATTTTCAGACAAAAGACTTAGAGATTTGTAATAATGTTGTTATGTAATAAAATTTTAAAAAACCTGTCTGTTCTCTCCCTCAATCGACGAAGAAACTTCTCGTTATCTTCCTCAACGAACTTAAAAATCATCTCCATGAGATGTTTCTTCTCCTTAGGTTCTAGATTCGTTAAGTCAACTTCTTCAAGCCTATTCTTCCCGTTGACCGTCGCTTCTTGCGGCAACATCCCTTTCCTCAGCCTATCATACGTCGGTAATCTCTCTATCGCCGCCCACCGGAGCTCCACGTCATCCTCGTCTCTCCGTTTACTACTCCCGAAAACCTCGTCCGTCGCCTGAGGAGCGAAGACGTCTCTGAAGCTTCTGGAAGCTCCGGGTAAACTACTCCGGTGACTTGTGGAGCCTAAACTCCCTCTCCCGCTCATCGTTCGGACGTGCAGATCTTCCTCTCGTCCTAACATCGCTGACACTCTTGATGATGTTTAGTTGAGATCCGAAATCTCAGTCCGGCATTAAAACGGAGAGAGAAACTTTTGAGAGAGGAGAAAAGAGAGAAGAGGCGGGTGAACTGTGAAGTTTTGTGGACTTTCTCTATTTAACATTTTCTTTTTTTGAAGATTGAATTTATAGATGAGAATTTAGTGATAAAATAATAGTATAGTTGTTGGTCATATAAAACTTCAGATATTATTAAATATTATTTGAAAGTGAAACCAATTGCGGCTCGAGTATTTATTATTTCCATTAAACATTAGTAAAATCTAGAGAAATTGATGAATTGGTAAAGATGTATAAGAAAATCTAACGAACATTAAGGGTGATTGATTGGGTTGTAATAAATATTTTAAATTTTAATTCTATTTATCAACAGAAAAAGTTATCTTTAGATTTTTAATTAGCTTTTAAAGCTAAAAGTGTTGTAGGAGCATTGTTTGTAAAGCAAACAAAAAAATTATGATAAGCATATATATATTTTTGTCTATTAATATATACATCTATCTCAAAAAATCAACATAAGTTTTATAGTAATTTATTACATTTACAAGCCAACCAATCATCTATAATTCGATTGTATAAATATAACAAGAATAACGAAAAGTTGGAGAAAAAATATGTAATAGTTTTTTTTTTGTTTTGCCATCAGTCTTGCCACAATTGCAATTAAGATTATGGAAAAATGGCTTACAAACAAACAAAAAAGAATTCAAATAATGGTAAAAGCTGTGAAGGGTGGACTTTTGCGGTGTAGATTATATACGTGTTTGTTGTCAAATGGTTTTGAGGAATCGTTTGATGTCACTTTTAACTTTTTAAGCATCGTACGAGATTATTTTTCATCTTGAATGTCATAATCTTCATTTATAATACAATAACAAAATAGAGTAAACGACACTACAAATTATGCGATCGCGACCATAATCTGGTTGTGACTTTGTGATAAACATTATCATTGCGGGCATATCACATCTCATTATGTATGTTTCCACATTTCTTTCCATTCTCCATCAATGGTGATCGGTGACGGTGATAATTGATTACAAAAACTTTACGATTAGGTGATAACTGTTTAATTTCTGCACTGATCTTTAATCAATATGTCAATATATACGGATTGAACGTGTTTGCAATATCAGTGTGAAGTACGTACGTGCTTGTGTCATAAATCAGAATTAATAAGCTGAAAAATAAACTAAAGTCAAATAAAACAAGCGTACACCATTTGACATTATAGGGAGTTTTTCAAACAATGTTTATTGTTTAGCTACCACGATTATACAGGTCAACATAAAACAATCATGTCACAAAATAGTACGAATGAAAAAATAGTGATATGGGACAATTAGTGACACACAAAACAGCAAGAAAATGATAATATTCACCTCACAAATGTTGGAACATTAAGCCCTTTATCAAAAAAAAATGTTGAAACATTTAAAAATAAAATAAAAATATATGGTATTAATAAGAGATACCAGTTTAATTTTAACTTTTAGTTAGTATAATATGACAATATGATAAATTATTCGTTCAACTACAATTATATAGCATGAAACTACAAATAGTGTTTTAAAAATCAAAATATTTTGCTTAGATTTTTTTTAAAAAAATATACTATTATGGCCTATTTACCACCTCAAAATGATAGGAGTAACCTAAGTTCATCTTCCTTGGACGCATGATGCACTTGGCAAATCTTGTATAGTTTTCCACATTACGTTTGATATTTTTTGGTTAGCACCCTTTCTCGTTAATATAGCGTATTTAATTACATGTTGTCTGATAGTGAATTTGTTAGCTGATGAGTGAAAAAAACATGACCTGAAATGCGTCGTTCTCCCTGCTTCAATCGGAATAGAATTGAGGTGCCAGTCTTAAAACACCGCACCTTGAATTTTTGACTTTGGGTAGCAATGCATTCGTCGAACGCCTTTTTTGACCGATACATCATTGTCTTTTATGGAAGTTTGGATCGATAAAACCATTCATGCATAAGAATTCTATTTTTATACTAGTTAGTAAACCAGTATGATAAACATGGCTGGTTCTGGTATCTGATGAAATATTGGTTTTAGTCCCTAAATTTTCAAGAGATATATGTGTGTGGAATGTATTATAAAATCTTAAAATGTAATGTTTATTGAAATTAATAATGGTCTTTTAAATTTTAGATCTGACTTTAATGATAAAACATACAGTAGAACTTCTATAAATTAATATTCGATAAATTAATATACACTAAATATTTCCATAAAATAGTATAATTTTATAGTCTCAAATTGAGTTTTTGTTCGATTAGTATATCGATAAATTAATATCTCTCTAAATTAATAAAAAATAAAATTTTGGTGTACTATTTACATTATTAATTTATAGAGGTTTCACTGTAAATACCGAGATAGTTAAGTTACAATTTTCTTTACTTATGTATTCGGATTTTGACTATGGTGCTCTTCTAGTTAGTTAAGGTTGATCACTAGAAATTGATATAAAAAAAATTGTTTGTCCCAAACACAATAATAAGACACACACATATATATGTATGTACAAGGGGAGTACATATATGGATACTACATTGTCAAAAAGAAAACATATATATATATATGTATAATAATAGGAAACCATGGGATCACAACACTACGGCGACAAAATTATCAGTGACAACCATCATCATGTGACGATTTCATATACAGTGCACTAATCTCAGACAGAGCATATCTTTTGAAGATTATAAGCTTTGAAATGAATCCGTATTTGACATTCGAGGATCATGAACTTGATTTCGTTAGTATCTTTGCGTGTAAGTATTTGGAGCGATTATTATCGTTTGTTGCAAAAAAATGGAATTGAATATATATCTAAAGAGAATATATAAAAAGACGAAATCACATAGTGTGAACTTTAAATAACAAGAGAGTGGTAAATAATATAGTAGTAATTGACAAACTGAAGGAAGTAAAAACTAAGGCTATATATGATATGTATACGGATCTATTGTTTGGTAATAATAAAATGAACGTGACCACACATGTGTTGGACGAGAAAATTGTACGTCCAAGAAACAAGGCAAAGAGATACCACATCCCACGAAGTAAGGGATTTTCATCACATGACAACAGTCTTCATTTGGATATTCCCCATGCAATCTATCACTACAATAATAATTTATCTTTTTCTGGGGTTACTACAATAATAATGATGAAGGTATCATAGCCACAATCTTTTTTTTTTCATAGCCACAATCATTAATTACAGTAGTAGTTAATAATCAAATTCAAAGCATTTAAGATTTAGTGAGTTCCCAAAATGTTTTCATTATTTGTTTACTAAGAAATCTGCAGCAGAACATACATGCATGTGCTCAACACTCAACAAAATGATGATCAATCTTTTTGTTTCAATTTCTATCTCGCTGGATAGTTTTTTTTTTTTTGTTCCACACGTTTAACCAGTTTTGGAATATTCACAGCCTCAACTTTGGAAGAAATAATTTATAGTTTATGCTTTAAACCCAAAGAAGAAGATAAAACCCACTTGTTCTCTTATACTCTTACAATATTCACACGACAGCTGCTAACAGAGTTTTTAATAGACTTCATTTTCAGTATATGTTTCTAATTGCTTGATATTTTTTTTCTAATTTATACAAGTCAAAATTGTAACTCATAACAGTTCCTAGAGTGAAATAGCCTTAGGTGGGTAAGCATATGATCTTGTTGGGAGATCAGCACTAGAAGTATAATCAGTCTAAGTTTCTTTCTCTTAGAAAAGTAAAAGTTATCAATGATGAATTGGTTTGATCCAAAAAAGAAATCAATGATGAATTCGTTTAGTGGTTGATTTTGCGTTTTTAAGGTTGCAGAAACAATTTATAGTGGGTTTAAAAAAACAAATATATATAGTTTGGTTTTGTCTTTGAAAATGTAGAGATCCAAGAAATTAAATATATAGTCTGGTACTGTCTTCGAAAATGTAGAGTTCCATAGGTTTTGAATATTGTAACCACTAAAAGCTCAACTAGGGCTGGA